CATGGGATCAGTGATGCTAGACTTGGTATAGAGACCACTTACCACTACCCTGGTATTTACAGTCAACTCTCGCTATTACGGACACCCTCGGGACCGTCATTCAGTGTCCGCAGTACCGAGAGTCCGTAATAATGGGGTCACTTTCAGTCATTTCTTTGTATTTTTCGCCGGGTCATAAGTGTTTCCTGTTCGTAACATCGAGGTTTCCGTTATAACGGGGTATCCATAAAGCCGGAGTTGACTATATATAGTCATATTTCTCGTATGGAAAATTCTGCTACGACCTATGCACAAATAAGTTTACACTAAATCTTTTTAGTAATCCAATACCTTCGAATTCAGAGGCCGGTGCGTACATCCCCATTATTGATGATAATGTCTGGCCTTCCATCTCAATTTCTTCATCGTTGTCATCTTCCCATCCCTCATCCCCCTAAATGTCAAAGATATATTGTTTTATTCAACATTAACTTACAAAATTTGTTGTGAAATTAGAAACAATGACATGCCCGCTCAATGAGGAATCTACCAATAGGCCTTTGCAAGATACGGTTACATGGTACTAACTCCGCCATCCTGGACGCCAAAAATACCAACTCAGAAGTTCAGAGAACAAAGAAAAGTCAATGTCTGAATAACATTATTATCATGTCCCTTAATTTTTATCACGGAATGTGATATATAACGTGACATTGTGAAAATGGGATGTTACTTTTCTTAGTCTTGGCTTAACGTTAGTATCGAGAATTTAATTTGATATATCTGCATAGCACATGCATTTAATTCGGGAATTATACTCGGCACAAGTGAAGTTCAGCTTTCACCCCGGCCCGCTAAATGTACATAAATTAGCAGGAATCAAACCTCGTCCGAGTCTCCATCTTCTGCATTGGTATCCTCAGCGTTGTTTTCTAGAAGCGTTCCAAGTTCGTTGATTATTAATTTGTATAATTTGACAGCAACTGGTATWGACGTCCACTGATCTGGTRCTKCAACATTAAAACAACACCATCAATCGTTCAGATCGCAATGAATTGTTGATATCAAACTCCACGCTACAAAKTTTTATAAAATAACAATGTCTTAAATGAACGGAGCTGRCAAACTCCACGTACTTTTTTGTACATTGATAAGATWATTGCCTTACCTTTACTGGCTTTAGATCGCGTYCGCACACCTATGCATACAAAATAGACATATAACAAATWATAACAATTAATGCAAATTACGCAGTAAAAAGCATGCATACGACTCATTTTTAAACGGTTTGAGAGAGATTAGGGAATATGCAATCGAAAGTTACTAAAGGATTCAATTAAACTATTATCRAAGATTGCCTTATCATTGTTAAAATTGTCGTTAGTCCACTCGACGTCGTCTCGTGGATGAACAACAAATTTGACGATTCGATGACGTCAACCGTGGACTAACACGAGAAACTATCATAAATTTGTTAAATATACCTATTTCAAAAAAGGTTGTCGGATAAAATGRCGAATGGCAATCAGTGTCAAACGGTTATTGCACGACCRAAAGGAGCCATGGCTTTTTCTAATGGATGGGAAATAAGCTGAAATAATAACTGATTTTTACCGTAAGATATTATAAGGTCATCATTGGCTCCATTTAGTCTCCATTTTCACGCAAGTAAACCCAACAATTGAGTTTTTTGTATGTCAAACARCGTAACCATAATCCCTTTCGGTCGTGCATTCTCCCTTCGACAATAGCCGCTCGCCGTTCTCGCCGACAACGTTTTTTGAAATAAGTGTATGTGAGCATGTTTACCTTCTGTCTGATGAAATACTCTTTCACCTTTCACAACAAATTGCAATCTTTTATCCCCTGTATTGACAAAATGCTGGAGCAGGCTACATAATGCGAGAGTGCTGTAAGACAAACCAGATRACTGAGATTTATAAACAATTCATTGTATCAATAGGTCTTTCACTTTATGATAGTGACGTCACGTTTTTAGGCCAATTGCATCATGGTATAGACTTGTTTGTTTCAAGTCTATTTGTTTCAAATTCACGAACGAACAGTTTTTCCGAAAATTTACCAAAGACGAAAAAGGCGAGATAGACTTTCACGTTATCAATATTCATTTTGACTTCTTCGTCTTCACGGAAACCGAMCTAATTTTAATCATTTTCTAGCGATTACAAAAGGTCTTTTTTCTTCAGTTTCATGTTATACAAAATACAAGAACYGATTTCGAACTGATTAACAAACGTTTRTTTCTSAYTCATTCTATGACGTCGGCGGATCAAATCAGGTCAGCATACCTTAYTTTACTGTCGTAAAGACCATAAAACTCAGGTTGGCGAGCACACCATATCTTGAGGACATATTCTAGTGCTGACTTGCCTGTAGGATCGGGAACGCTACTTAAAAACTCCAGCGTTGTCTCGAGTTGTGTGTTTATAAGATGCAGGAAGACTAGTATTAGTGACTGAAAAAGAAAGTTTTTACAAATAAGATCTTTGCTATTCAATTCGCTTTAAGGTTAGGTCCTACACATGTATAAAACAAAGAATAGACAGCTTGCAGCTCCAACTGGAGGACAAAACAATGGATTCTAGTTCCCAAGACGGCAAGAATAAATATTTTCTGTTGTCCTCCAGAAGAAGGTATTTTGACATCATATGCAAGGAGTCTATACCTGAAGGATGAACTAATGCATAAATGAATAAGTGGAAACGCCAAAATCTTTAACTGCRCTTGTATTTTTTTAGGCCTTTTTTCGTGTTGTCCCAACATACCCGWAGTGCTTTATTTCACCGAAAGCAATGCATCCCTAAATAAGTATGTAGAATGTCTTGTTCGCTGCATAAATACACAGAGAGAACGTCCTGAACTTTATTTGCGTGTACAAATTAGAAGCAAACGTACCAAGATACGTACCTGAATTACGCTTAAAGTTTCTGCTTGTTGWAGTTTACTCAAAACCCCTCCAAGCAATAAATCTAGATTTTCACCAAGGTTTTTACCATACTAAAACAATACAAAATCAAGTATCATGTTAGTATAGCCGGGAACTGAGAATTAACGAAAAATACCGCGCGTATTTGATGAAAGTGAGTGCGAAGAACAAAGGTGATATTTTCTAAGATATAGCACTCAAAGATATGGAAAACTACATAGTTTATACAGAGTTTTTGAAGAACTGAGCATCCCAGGAAATCTAATATACGCTGACACTCGTTGCAAGATGTAAGTTGTCTCACAAACGAAAAGTCGCCATCTTTGATTTTGAACCAATCAGAAAGCAACTTTCAACATACGATCGCAAAGGATCACGGATGTACGCAGGCCTTCAATGTATAGAAATATTTGAATTGTAGTTTGTGTATGAAATGTCAGACTTGAATATATTCATATGCATTACTATACTAATAATATAGCGTCTAGAACAAATGTTACAAATAATAAAAGTTGAGATAACCGCTATTTTCACCTCAAACCTCCAGAAGTTTCATCAGTTTCAAGATTAATGAAGAAGAAATTGTACAGTGGAAACAACAAACCTTTCGAATAAGAGTAGTCACCAGTCTTCCTACAAATGAAGCGGTAAATTCTGGCCCTCTTGGGTCTAATAAATGGGACGCTGCGCGAGAAACATATGATATCCCGTTGTTTGACTGCGCATCTTGCCTGAAATTTGCATAAAAGACATTTACCGTCTCATGACTGATGACTGCCCACGTGTGTCTTTTAAAGCAATAAGTCAAAACGGTGGGTGGATGGCTACTTTGTTGCAATTTTGTTTACACCCCCTTCTCGATAGCCCTGTTCCCCTTCTTAAAGATGTTGRACACGCTCTTTGGTTTATAGACCGATTTTGGGTTTGAAAACATTAACAAAAGCTTGTGAGGGATGGCTGCTTGCAATGCGGTCTCCTTTCACACTTATCTAGATGTTTCTTCAAATGCACTTTAAAGAAAGAAAAATTGCGCATTTTGKTCAAGGAACTTAATAATGACATAACAAGACATAAAGAGATGGAAAAAAGCAATATTTTACCATGTATATAACTGTTCTCCRCCAACTATAACGAAAACTCTTAAACATTCTCCACCACTCTGAAAGACAAGAGAACTAAAATCATCATTATGAAACATGACAACTATTGATTGATATTGATTGAAATAGAAGTATTTGTGTGTCCTTTATAAAATGATATAAAAAACGGTTTTTAAGGAGATATTTTAGGGGTTGTGAAAAGTACGAGGACTACAACTACCATCATGCTTTGCTGCACAAAATGGCGTCGCTGCACTATTGTTCAATCTGCCAACTGACCTGTAAAATACTGTTGTCATCAGAGTTCAACATTATTTTGACGAGTAAWGGAAACACGTTATTGAGTAGCATATCGGTCAGCGGTGGCTCCGAATACTTGACAATATTAGTGAGTACATCCATGCAAACCTGGTGAAAACAACAATTACTAAATACAGTTTTCTCAGAAAACGCTGAGTATTGAAGATAGTGCATTACAAGACTGAAATGCATTGTTGGTCGTATCATCTCTCTAAAAGGGACGTCAGTGTTTCCTAATGATAGAGCGGATTTCGTATGACTGTGCAAAAAAATACGGTACGTTCGTGCTGTGTCCGTACCGTGCCATAGCCATGATGCATTGGAAAATCTTTACTTTCATTTGAAATCCTAGAAGGCAAGGTTCCGTGACCGTACCGTGCCGTGTCCGTGTTGTGATCCGTGCTTTTGCACAGTCATACGAAATCCGCTCTAATGTCATCCCTGTAACTTCGATGGAAAGCAAATTTTTAGTTTTTATTTATCATTCCTAATGCCACATTGCAGTTTCGTATTGGAATACGATGTATTCATACTAAAGATTTTGTTGAAATTRCTGGATACATTTCAACTGAAGTAGGAGAGTGGTCAGCTAGATGGCATGATGGTGTGTCATTGCAAAGCATATATATTGGTAGATCTAAACTCTTACTGCATTGATTCCCAAAGGAACTTTTTCTGGTGGAGACTGGAAAATACTGATTAATGTTGGAAGGAACCTTTGTTGTAGAAGCTGCAGAATGAATTAGATTATCAACGAACAGACTACTTTACCAGAAAATGATCAGCATTATGTTCACAGCGCTCACGATGGCTTTAAAACCTGCCTGACTCACCTTATTACAAGCTGGGTTCATGGCTAATTGTTTAAAAATTTCCTCAATCAACGGAATTAATCCAGCATCTTCAGGAAAAAAAAAACAGAGGTTAGTAAAACGCTAAAAAGATTACTGAATATCTAGTTAGAAAGTCTAGACTTGCTCGAATTCTCGCTCATTATTGTCTCCTTTGCTTTGGATTATTTTCGGTTTCCGAGCGATCCCTTAGCAACAGCCCACGAAGATGATGTTACTTAAAAAGTACTAGAAAAAATTTGAATCAAAACATACAAATCCCAAGTATTGAGAATTAACTAGCAATAATACCCTAGGAAATATAACTCTAGTAATATAAAATTAATTTGCAAAATTGCTGGGATTCGAACCCAGAACAGGCCACTATTTCTATTCTTCGTTTTCACCATACGTCATAGCGGCCATCTTGGATGAACTTCAACAAAAGATTTCTCATTAGTATCTATTGTTCATTCCTCCAACATGGCCTCCGGTCTTTTATCTTTTGAATCTCATGGGAATGATTGAAAACGATCAATTGCATGCATTTCCCAGTTCCACGCAGTTAACATATTTTATATGAATATGTTGCAATTATGGAGACCTTGTAGCACAGCTGGTAGAGCATCTGTAGTACAAATCCGAAGGTCGTCTGTCCGAATCCCAACAAAACTATTTCCAAGGGTTTTTCACCTTTCTAAGTACTACAACTTTCAACTATTTTTATTACGTGTATTTCTTAAAGTGCACATGAACCCTTTTAGGAAATCATTTTTAATAAAAGCCAAATATGATGCTAATCATTGTTTTTAAGAAAAAAACGTTGTTTGAATTGTATTTTCTGAGTTAAAGGCATTTGAAAATTGAAAATGCTAATGAAACGGTCGCTCAAAAATATTTTCATGAACGCCATCTGGGAATATGGTTATTCCCTACATTGCATATGATAAATTTAATGTCATGAAACCATTTTTAAGCGACTACTTCAAAGTTCGTATATCTAAACCCTATCTAACTCCTTCAAAGTTCGTATAATGAAACCTTCTTTGACTTCACTTCATTAGCATTTTCAATTTTCAAATGCCTTTAACTCAAAAAATAAAATTAAAACAACTTTTTTTTCTTCAAAGCAATGATTAGCACCATATTTGCCTTTTGTTAAAAATGATTCTCTAAAAAGGTTTAAGCAATTGCAACTTGTTGCGCCAAGAAAAACGACATACTCTGAAGCTAAACTTGAACTACAACTGATAATGGTGAACGACAAAGATTTTGGATTTTGGATTTTTTTGTATCTTGTATAACTCGCCCATAAGAAGCCACGAAAAAAAGGTCAGAATCATGCAGCATGAAAAACTGCAGGCTCACAAAACTGGTGAACAAATTTACGTAGATAATTGCATAGTTTCAAAACCGATTTTTTTTCTCTTTTCAATTTGATTATGATTTAGACTTTACCATATTCTTACCATTAGCTAGTTTCAAAAATAGAGCTATTGTTAATGGTGCTATCCGATTTTCATGCGATGCTGTAAAGTCTTTATCAATCTGAAAGTAAAAGTTACATACAATTCCTGTATCAAATACCCAACCAAACAAAATAGCTATACCACGCAGCTACTTCTAAAAACGATTATTTGAGAGAATGATGCTAGAACAGGTCCATATGGTGCATCCATAATGGGGAGAAGAGAGGAGGAGTGAGGAGGAGCGAGGAGAGAGGAGGAGGAAGAGGGAGGAGCAGGGGGTAACTCTTCTCAATAAAACGAACCTCAGTTATCTGCAAAAATGGCGCAAAAGCATTTCTAGCTCAAGATAGAATATCGATCCTTTTAGCAATCACTATAAATTCTTTTTTTCTACCAAGTAATGTGTTGATTGTTTCTGTTATTTGCGCGAAGGACGTAAAAATATCCGATCCAGAATTGTCAATCACACTTACAGACATGACGATCGAGAGGGTTTCCAGGACAAGAGCCAAAACATCATCACTGGATTGTGTTGCCATTGTTAGTAGCCCTTCCATAATTTGAGGCAAAAATGGTACTAAAAGATGAGTTGATTTTGATCTTTTGAGAAGTTCACAGTACCTGAAAAAATAACAAAAAAGAGTTCATGTGTAAATGAAAATGATTGTTACATTGTAAATAATAAGCTATGCGATGATTAATGAATGTATTGATTTGAACCCATGGCCTCTGCGATGCTGGTGCAGTGCTCTACCAACTGAGCTATGAAGAGTTCATGTCTAAATCTAGCCACTGATAACCTGTAACAATCTCTGATAGGTTACCTACTGATGACCTATAGGTACCAAAAACTGACTGACGGCATGCCAACAACCTAATGACAGCCTACCAACAACCTACTGACAGCCTACTAACAACCTACTGACAGTCTACCAACAACCTACTGACAGCCTACCAACAACCTACTGACAGCCTACCAACAACCTACTGACAGCCTACCAACAACCTACTGACAGCCTACCAACAACCTACTGACAGCCTACCAACAACCTAATGACAGCCTAC